CCTCTCCCTCTCCTCCCTCTCCCTCCTCTCCGCTCCGCCCGCTCCTTCTCCCTTCTCTCCTTCGCCTCGCTCTCCTCCCTCTCCCTCCTCTCCCTCTCCCTCTCCTCCCTCTCCCTCCGCTCCCTCTCCGCCCTCTCCCTCTCCCTCCTCTCCTCCTCCTTCTCCCTTCGCTCCTTCTCCTCCCGCTCCTTCCTCTCGTGGCGAGCTATCTCCTTCAACGCGTGACCACCACCACCACCACCACTACTACTACTGCTGCTGCTGCCGCTGCTCTCGTTGTCGCCAACCTCGTTGTTCGCCCCCGACGACTCCTTCTCCTCCCCCCTGTCCTTGTTACGACTATTCCTCTCCACCTCGCCCGACGAGCTCTCCTCCTTCCGCGACTTCCTCTGACAATCCTTCCCGCTCTTCCCGCCGCTGTACTTCGACGAAGTGCCGGACGAGTCTCGAGACTCTCTGCTCTCGCGATTGCTGCTCCCGACCTCTTTCCTCGGCCTCGACCGGGAACTTTCCAAGGATGACGATCCAAGCGACGATGCGGCCGAGGAGGAGGAAGATGATGATGATGATGATGCGGTGGTGATCGAAACGGAGGACGAGGAAGAGGAAGAGGTGGATGAAGCGGACGTCGACGACAACGTCGTGATGATCGTCGTCATCGTCGTCGTCGTCGTTGTCGTCGTCGTCGTCGTCGCGGTGATGCTGGTGGTCGAGGTGGTGGTCGAGGTTGTCGTTGTCGTCATCGTCGCGTTCGTCGTTGTTGAAGACGATAAGACCGCGGTGCAGGCGGTGGAAGTCTGATACTGGCCACCACCGCCGCCGCCACCGCCACCACCACCGTTACTCGACGCGGTGATGGAGGCGGTGGAGGTTGTCGCGATTGCTGCGGTCGTCGACGAGGTGGACGCCGTGCTGGCCGATCCTCCCCTCGCGGTGGACACCGCTCCGTGGATACCGCTGCTGCTTACGCTACTACCGTTCCCGCTAACGATACTACTAGCTAAACTGCCACCACTATTGCCGCTACTACTATTACTATTGTTGTTGGCTGCGGTGGCCGCCGTTCCGATCGGTACTGGAACCGGTGGTAATTCGGGGCTGACAGTCTTGATCGAGGTGCCGGGGGTGACAGGTGTGGTCGGAGTCGGGTGTTGCACGCAGTTGTGCTGCACGCCTGTCCGCGGATCCGAGGCCGCCTTCGAGGGCACGGCGTTGGTGAAGGTTAGACTCGAGGAGGGGGTGGTGGTGGTCGAGGTGATGACGATCTGGCTGGTGGCAGACGCGGACGTTGACAATTGTACCGGCGGATGACTAGGAAACGGATACTGCAAACAGACTTTGCCGGTGCAGCCAGCGGCGACGGCGGCGGCAGCGGCGGCGGCGGCGGCGGCGGCGGCGGTGGTGGTGGTGGTGGTGGTGTTGCCGCCGCCGATCATGGAACCGACGCCGATCACGCCTGTGAACTCTCTCGGCTCGTATTTCTCGCTGAAGTTCTCCAAACGCTTCGAGTCCTCGTCGAACACGCTCCTCTTTGCGAGAACCGATTTCACTATGTCGCTTGGCTGCACCTCGTGCAGATCCAAGTCGAGCAACTTGTGGCGAAACCTGAATCTCTCGGAGGCGGTCGCGTCCAGCTTGGCCAGGGCGTCGCCACCCGCGGCGCTCAACGCCCTCGACCCGGACCATTTCTCGTACTTCTCGTCGAGGGAGCGTATCCTTTCCTCGAGGCTGGGCGATTGGGGCGCCGTCTCGCTGTCGGAGCTGGTCGGGCTGGGGCTCGGGTGGCGAGGCGGCGGAGAGGCAGGTGGTTGGGGGGCCGTTCGAGGGCTCGGCGCCGTGGACAGGTTGGCGGCGCAGGGAGGACTGGTCATCTTGGCGAGGCTCGAGTTGCTCGATCGGCCCCCGCTGTTTCCACCGTTGTTGTTGCTATTCACGTTACCGCTGTTGTTGTTGCTGTTGCTGTTGTTGTTGTTGTTCAACATTTGAGCGGCGAACCTCGGCAAAGGCAACGACAAAGGGCCATCGTGGCTCCTCTCCCGAAACCGCCTCGGCTCGCTAGGCACCAAGTTCTCCGGCCTCTCGTCAACCAATGGCGTTCCTGGCCTCGACCCGTCGTGATGCTCGTGATGCCTTCGATCGAGATTATCAGTCTTAATACGAGTTTCGATGATACGCGCGGAAAAAAGTTAGAAGGGGAAATATATACCTGTTGGCAACGTCGCGACGCCGCTTGCAAGGTCCGGGCCCTCCTCTACCCTCGCAACTGCCCCTCCTCGTGCTGTGATGTATCACTACTTTGCCGTCGCTGACTCGCCGTATGTCCATCCCCTTCCTGCTGGAATGCGAGGTGACCAACAGCGAGGCGATCTCGGGCTCGTCGTCCTCGCAGAGTATCGCCGTCGACGTGGCCCCGTCGAGCTTGGCGCGCTTCTTCGGCGCGAAACCGACCTCGTCCCCGCTGCTGTGACACTCCTCCAGCTGCTCCAACAGGTGCACCCTCTCCTTCTGCAGGTGCCTGATGTCGGGGGGCGGCAGGAGCGGGGGCGGCGGCGCCGGTGGGTCGACGCTTGTCACGACGCTCTGCACGGCGTGGCGGCGCGACGGGGGCGGGCAGTCGTCGTCGTTCAACTTGCCGTCGCCGAGCACGCTACTCTGGTAGTCGTCGTGGCTTGCCCCGCTCCCCTGGCTGAACTCGTCGTAGCTTCGGAACCGTCGGGGCGCCGGCTCGCTGTAGTCGCCGTCGTAGTACGTGTCCTGGTACGAGCGCCTGCTGCTGCGCGACATGGCGGTCGGATGGGCAGGGCTCGCGCCCGGCGTGCTTCCGCCTCCTGACGCGCGGGAGTAACTCGCCGTTCTCGACCTCGGGGGCGTCTCGTAGCGGGTGAACCGGCTACTCGAGTTCGACACCGCCACCCCGGAGTCGAAACTGCTGCGCTCCCGCCTGGAAGGAATCCTTCAAATAACGGATGTGTACTATGTTTCGTGTTTCTCTTTGCTGCTCCTCTGAGATCGACGGCTATATCCTATTGTACCATAGTAGTGACATGTCGAGGGGGAGGGAAGGGGGGGGAAGAGGCGAGCTTTCTCTCTAACCCTTTCGCTAGTACCGGCGAATATAGTAACTCTTCTATAAAATATTCCATTGAGTCGCTTTGCGTAAGATAAGGCCGTTGAGGTAGTACTACGAGCGACTATAATCGCTAATTTCATAAGATAAGGCCATTGAGGTACTATGGATGACTATTTAATTGCTCTCCATAGAGATGCTACCGAGATACTGTTGAAGGCAACTATAGTCACTCTCCATAAGATGTCACTGAAATACTACAGACGATTATATAGTCTCCATAAAATACCACTGAGGTGACTATAGTCGCTCTCCATAAAAGTACCATTGAGATACTATACTCACTCTCCGTAAGATGCCACTGAGGTACTATTGAAGGCAATTGTAATCGTTCTCCATAAAATGTCACTGAGATAATACGAGCGATTATAGTCGCTTTCCACAAAATACCATCAAGATACTATGAATGACTATAGTCGCTCTTCATAAGATGAGGCCATTGAGCGACTACAATAACTCTGCATAAGATGTCACTGAAGTACTGCGAACGACTATAGTCTCCATAAGATGTCACTGAGATACTATCGGCGACTACAAGCGCTCTCCATAAGATGTCACTGAGATACTACTGGCGACTACAAG